GGAATCTAAGCGACATACAAAGCAAACAATACAAACAGACTATAAGACTACTGAAACAGAGAACGAAACCATTCTTAATGGATTCTATGCATTTTTCTTGATTTACTAAGATTTGAATGGGCTTAAACGGAGCTCGGATGAATTTTCTTTGAATTTTAGAAGATTCACTGTTATTTTACTATAAACAGAAAAGCCTTAAGTGATTTATTATGCAATAAATAAAATCCTAGAGAGAGAGGGGGGCGGCGCCGACATACGAGCCCCACATGTCATAGACTCGGGGTGGCGGTCTGCGGTGGACCGGGTCCACGGACCGGGGAGGAGGCGGCGCACCACAAGGCGCTGACATGGCGCCGACAAGGCGGCCACGCGGGCGGCCAAGCGGGCGGCCCCGATCTACCCGAGGGTAGATTGGACGGTGGCGGGAGCGTGTGGCCGGCGCGCACGGGCGGCTCAAGCCGGCCCGACGCCATGGCGCACGGCGGCGCTACCGCGGGGCGGCGGCGGCAAACAGCGGCGACCGACGGTGAGCGGCGGCGCACGGTGAGCGACGGCGGCGCGATGCGACGACTAGGCGGCGACTCTACCGGAGGAAAAGAGAGGGGGGAAGAAGGAGGGGGTGTGTCCTCACCGAAGAGGTCCGACCGGCCAGGGGGGAGCCGACGGTGAACGGCGACGAGGATCGACGGAGGGGAGTCGACGAGCGGCGGACGGGGTCCGGGACGACCTAAGGAACACAATGGGAGAAGTTAGAGGGGAAAAGAGATCACCGAGGGCGGGAACACCGGCCGAAGATGGCGGCCATGGTGGTGCTCACCGGTGCACGGTGCGGAGTGGGTTCCGGCGGCGGAATCTGACGGAGGAGGGGTGGACGAGGTGGCCCGCTCGACGGCGAACACGACGGCGTGGCTCGGCGCGGCGGCTAGCGGCGACCGGAGCAGCGGCGGAGACAGCAGAGAGGTGGGCGGCGGCACTAGAGCGGAGGAGAGCACGGGAGCGAGTGATTGCAAAGCGAAAAACAGAGAGGAGGGAACGTGGGTGCTTTATATAGGTTTGCAAGGGTCGATCGTGGCTGGGATGGCCGCGATTTCGCCTGCGGAGTGGGGTTAGGTGGGGAGGAGAGAGAGGTAGGATTCGAGCCGTCTGGAGCGCAAGCGCGGGTGGGAGAGAGAGAGAGTGGGCGCGGGGAACACGGGGGAATGCGGCGACGTGAGCGACGTGGCCCGGGAGGTGCGGAAGCGAGCGGGACGGCGGTTGCGGGAGGCGGCGGCGCTGGCTGGAGGTTGGGTGTCACACCCTAAAAATCCCTAAATATATAAATTGTTGTTTAATTGGAATTATTAGAACTAATTTTAAAAGCCTAGAAGAGAAGATCTAATTTTAAATAATAAATTCCAATATAAAATTTTATTAAATACTTTACTTGATTCTATAGTTCCTAGATTTTTCTTCGATTTACTTGAGCCAAGGAAGTGTTTTTAATAATTGGAATTGCATTTCATGAATAATTGAAATTGAAAAAAGTTTTAAAAATCCTCCTTTTGGCTTTGGGCCGAAAGTCGGCCCAAAACCCTCTCTCTCTCCTCCCCGGCCCAAGTCGGCCCGCAGCCGAGCCACCGCCCGCTCGCGCGCGCTTCTATTCGCTGACAGGTGGGGCAGGACAGAGGTCCCAGTTCGGAAGTTCCGACCATTTGGACCGAAAGTTCCGGACCTCGACATACCACTCCAAAGACGCTCTCTACAAGACCATCGCTACAAATCCAAACAAAGATGGACATGAGCTTGGTTTTTCTGATGAAAGTCCTGTGTCCAAACGTGTTGTGGTGAATGGGAAGATTTTCTTGATGTTTGTAAGAGAAGGAAAGGCTTCACAAGCAAGTGAGGTGACTCTACCCTTTGTTGGTCAGAGACTCGGAGCTTCCGGACAAAATGTCCAGAACTTCCTGGCAGGACAGAGGTCCCGGTCCGGAAGTTCCGATCATTTGGACCGGAAGTTCCGGACCTCTGGCAAGACAAAGAGGCTGACAGGAGGTTCCGGGCAAAAAGCTAGGAAGCTCCGGCCAGCTGGTCTGTACTATGTATCATATGTAATCATCAAGAATCTTGAGGGCCGCGAAAGGGCCTGTAGCCTAGTGGTTACAAGAGCCTCAGTAGCACCTGATGTCCTGGGTTCGACTCCCCATGGGAGCGAATTTTCCAGGATTTAACGGCGTTGTGCTTTCAGTGGTAGGCGACGTACCCGTCGACATCGAGGCGCCTGTGGTGACTTCGTCAATCTCTCCAGAATTCGCCGGCCCAGTCTTCGAAGATGCTCATAGGGGTAGGGTTTGCGTGCGTGTGTTCATAGGGGTGAGTGCGCGTGCATTATGAGTGTCTGCGTTGTACTGTGTAATTCTCAAAAAAAAAAAAGAATCTTGAGGGCAAAGTGGTCGCTTGTTTTAATGGTGATTAAAATGAAGAGTATCGAGCTTGTGTGTGGGTGCCCAAGGCAATTGTGACTAACATTAAAGGACCCAAACTTCGCCAAGTTTGGGTACCTAAATCCCAAGCTTTATTTCTCTTTTGTAGGCATACTTCTCCGGTGGTTCGAGTTGGGTTGTGGACATTGGTTGCACTAATCATATGACTGGAAAGAGGAGTATGTTTACAAGTCTTGACGAGGAGGGAGGAACTCGTGAGAATATTGTTTTTGGAGATGATGGTAAAGGAAAGGTGGGTCTAGGTAAAATTGCCACCTCCAACAATCAATCTCTCTCTAATGTTCACCTTGTCAATTCATTAAGCTATAATTTATTATCCGTGTCACAATTGTGTAAGTTGGGTTACAATTACTTGTTTACCGACAAGGATTAGGAGAGATGACTCTTCCGTTGCATTGAAGGGAAAGTTGAAGGGTGATCTCTATCTTGTCGATTTCAATGTGGATAGAGTGAATCCGGAAGCTTGTTTGATTGCTAAATCCTCCATAGGTTGGCTATGGCATCGTAGACTAGCCCATGTTGGAGTGCGGAATTTGTCAACTCTTCTAAATGGGGAACACATCCTCGCGCTCACTAATGTTACATTTGAGAAAGATCGTGTGTGTAGTGCATTCAAAGCTGGGAAGCAAGTTGGGAGTCTGCATCCAATCAAGAACATCATGACTACAACATGCCTACTTGAGCTTCTTCATATAGATCTATTTGGACCCGTGGCCTACATAAGTATTGGAGGTAATAAGTATGGCTTTGTCGTTGTTGATGACTTTTCCTGCTTCACTTGGGTGTATTTTCTCCATGACAAGAGTGAAGCACAAGATGTCTTCAAGCGTTTCGTAGAGCAACCTCAAAACCTCTATTATCTCACAATCAAGAGGGTGCAAAGCGACAATGGTGGAGAATTCAAGAACATTCAAGTGGAGGAATTTCTTGATGAAGAGGGTATCAAGCACGAGTTCTCCGCGCCATATGATCCTCCTCAAAATGGCATTATTGAGAGGAAGAACCAAACCCTCATTGAAGCCGCAAGGACAATGCTTGATGACTACAAGACTTCAGATATCTTTTGGGCGGAGGCCGTGAGCACCGCATGCCATGCCATCAACCGCCTCTACCTCCACAAGCTTCTAAAGAAAACTTGTCACGCCCAGAAATTCACTAGTAATTTCCGAACTTATTTGTGCATAAAATCCTCGTCCAGGAATCAGCCGAGGTACACAAACAAACAATTTAATATATAAATCCATTTTAATAATAATGTTACATACTTACAAAAGAAAAGAAAACAACAGCGAAAAAACGATCTAGCGATGGCTTTAGCTCCACTCCCACAGGCAGCTTAACTGAGGTATAAGCCAAACGTCTTCTCCTTCTGGATCATTTTTCTTTAACTGAGGTTGATTGATTATTGCAAGGTGAGTACATGGAATACTCCGCAAGCTACACAGCAAATATGCAAGTGCACAAGGATACCAAAGGATGGCATAATATAGGCTCATTTGCAAAAGCAGCATTTAGCAAACATTTAAGAGTAGTAAAACAATAGAGTAATTTAATCATTAATTTTAATCAACACTGAACAACACGCCCATGCTGCTCAGGCCCAACCATTCTGAACAACCATACCCGGTTGTACAGATCTAATTCCAAACCAGGAGCTAAGCAAATTATTACCAGTTATAGCATCAATAATTATTGTGAGAGGTGTGAGACTAATCACGAAAAACATTGCTCAACCCGCCCATGACCGCGGGTACGGCTATTCGAATAGTTTTACTCTAGCCAGATGTGTACCACTATACCCACAAGACACAGCCTCAACATCATGTCTACCATGCGTCGCGATGCTGGAAAGTACCCGAATAGAGGCTGTGACAATACCCTCTACACAACACAACTCACCACAGTGCACCATTCTTGGATCATAATCAACCCCTCTATAAATATAACCAGAGGCATGGACTCCCCATTGACCCCCACGGACTTCTCGCCACTTCTTAGTCTGGCACCCCGTAATGAACCATGCTATACAAAAGGTAAAGCCGTTGCCCACGCTGGCTTGTGGTTGGTACGGTTAATGTCTCACAACAGTAGCCCGCGAACCGGTCCTTAATTGTCATGAGCACGACCTTCAAAACCATGTGCTCACAACCCACCATTGTCAAATTTTAATTGGCAAATAATTAATTAACCAATCACGATTGACTATCGTGAGCTACCATTAAATATAATCATAAATAATAATGTAGTATGAGTCATCCCATTAACGATCTAATGTTCATGGCTAAGCAATTATATATATAGCATTTAGCTGAACCAAACCAATATATAAGGTTTAAGCTAATCAATTCATTACCCAAGGTATCGTGGAATAGGGTATTCAATGCAAATTGGCCATAACAAAGGAATAGGTTCACACCACCCGGTGACATTCGAAAATAAATGCACAGTTGAAATAAATAGATAATTTAAATATAGGATCAACATGCTTAAAGGATTGTGTTTGGGATCTGTGTGACTTGCCTTGCAATAATCGGTCTTCAATTAGTCTTCTGAATCTCTTCCGACGCACTCGCGAACCTTCGCAACGACGAAAACGACAAGCTAACACGCAAAATGAAGAAAAAGACTAATAAAAACCAAATAAATAGTACATAAATGTAAACAAACATGTAAATCATGATTTTAGATGAATTTAGAGACTTGAACCACTTAATTCCAACTTCAAATGAATTAGTTATGAATTTTACAAGATAAATCTGATTTTAGCCTTAAACAAAAAAGGATTAATGATGTCATGACGACATCACTACCGGGCATGGTACTGGACCACACCACTGCCGGCGATGGAGGGTTTAGGCGGCCAAACCGAGGGCACCAGAAGAAAGAACACGACGTGGGAAACTCACTGAGGGGCGGCACGACGAAGGACGACGATGAAAAACGGCCGGCAACGAGATCGAGGCGGTGGTGAGCTCGGCTTGACGGCGTCGGCGGCGCTCCAGCGGGCTTCGGCTTCGGCCGAGTGGTGGACGGTGTGCGGCTCCTCCTCGTGAACCCGATGGTGGCGACAGCGACTGGAGAAGGCGGCTGCAAAGGCGGCGTGGCGCGGCTAGTACATAAATGTAAACAAACATGTAAATCATGATTTTAGATGAATTTAGAGACTTGAACCACTTAATTCCAACTTCAAATAAATTAGTTATGAATTTTACAAGATAAATCTGATTTTAGCCTTAAACAAAAAAGGATTAATGATGTCATGACGACATCACTACCGGGCATGGTACTGGACCACACCACTGCCGGCGATGGAGGGTTTAGGCGGCCAAACCGAAGGCACCAGAAGAAAGAACACGACGTGGGAAACTCACTGAGGGGCGGCACGACGAAGGACGACAATGAAAAACGGCCGGCAACGAGATCGAGGCGGTGGTGAGCTCGGCTTGACGGCGTCGGCGGCGCTCCAGCGGGCTTCGGCTTCGGCCGAGTGGTGGACGGTGTGCGGCTCCTCCTCGTGAACCTGATGGTGGCGACAGCGACTGGAGAAGGCGGCTGCAAAGGCGGCGTGGCGCGGCTGGAAACTCGGCGGCGACGGCGGCGCTAGAGCAGACGCGGCTAGGGCGCTACGGCCGACGGCGAGCTCGGGCGAGGGTGGCAAACGAAAGAGGAGAGGGAGGGGACTCTATTTATAGCCATGGGAGAGAGAGATCGGGCTTGGAACGCAAGGAATCGCGCCGGGAAAACCTAGGGTTTGGTGGAGAGATAAACTCGCAAACGAATCCAAATTCGCGTCGAATTCAAAGGGATAAAACTGGATTTTTGGGGGAAGAGATAGAGGAGGATAAGGGAAACAAATCCCCTCAACTAATTTTCGGAATACACGAGAGATAAGGCCGGATTCGGAGGAGAAAAACCGAGCCAACTCGGTCTCAGTTCGGCTGTCCTGAGGTTGAAGATGAACAACAGCGACAGGGAGGAAAAGTAGACTTTTCACTGGTCTGAAAAGAAAAGAAGAGAGGGATAAGTAATAGACTTCTTCGAGAAAGAAGGAGACAGGAAGCAGAGACAGGCAAAGAGGAAGGACGGGCTGAGGATGACGGATAGACTTTTCCAGTTTCAGCCCGAAAATGAAAAGGGGATTTTAATTACTTTTCCAATTAAATTAATCACTGAAATGATCCTTGAATTGTTAAAAATACTTATATTGCTCAAATAATTTCAAGAAAAATCCTGAAAGTACTTGAACACTATAAGTATTTAATAAAATTATAAGAAGACCATTTAATGATTAATTTAATATGTGAATAATTACTGAAATGTTCTTTGTATGATTAAAATTAAGAATTGAGCTCCGAAAAATCCGAAAAAATTTCAGAGAGTATAATTAATCATGGAGAATTTAATAAAAATTAAATCCAACCATGCTTTATATTTAGGAAATTTGATTTCCCACATTTAACTTCAGTTGTAAATTAATGAACATTTAATATAAATTCTAATAATAATTTCTTAAATAATTTATAAATCCTAAGATGAAAATCAGGATGTGACAAAACTTCATATGAGCTCTTGAGTGGTAAGAAGCCAAATGTTCATATTTTCGTGTTTTTGGGAGTAAGTGCTTCATCTTGAGTAAGAGGCCTCGTTCATCTAAGTTCTCACCTAAGGTGGATAAGAGATTCTTACTTGGCTATGAATCAAATACACATGCCTATCGTGTCTTCAACAAAACCTCCAGTATTGTTGAAGTTACTACGTATGTGACATTTGATGAATCTAATGGCTCCCAACGAGAGCATGTTGTTGTACATGTTGTAGATGATGCGGATCCTAGCAAAGCAATTGGTACTAAGGCTATTGGAGATATACGACCAGTCGAGACACAGGATGACCAAGAAGATAGGGATCAACCTCCGTCATCGACACCCAATAGCCCTACATCAAGTCCACTGTCAGCAGACCCGGAAGTTCCGGGGACTGAGGACCGGAACATCCGGGCCTCTCCATGCCAAGAAGTTTCGAAACCATCAGCCCGGAAGTTCCGGACTGATGATAGTCAAGGCGTGCCTACGGCACAAGTGAATGGGATTGATGCCGAGGGCACTGTAGAGCATCTTAATCAGGGTTAGGTCCTCCCAGTGCACCATCCAAGGATACATCACACCGTCCAAAGAGATCATCCCGTCGACAACATACTTGGTGACATTAGAAAGAGGGTAACCACTCGCTCTCGTGTCGCTAATTTTTGTCAACACTATTCATTTGTCTCCTCTTTGGAACCAACGTAATGAAGACACAACTAGCTCGGATATAACCATGACTACCTTATGTATTAATCAACCAAAGGTGCATATGTTCTATATTAGATTTACATGTTATATATTTGAACAAACTTTGCTACACAATGAGTTTCGTGAGTTTTTTTTTTGCAGAGGTACTTGCTTGGGCAAAGGAAAAGAGACCGAGCGTAACGAATGCATGGATGATGAAAAAAGTTGATTGGGGACCAAACCATTACCTTCTCCAAGTCTACTTCTACCTCACCAAGTCCATAGAAGACAAGAGATGAGATGAAGTTCTATATGTTTTGGATTCGGATTCAGGCCTCCTGACAGCACCAACTTCAAACGGACCTAGCCGCTGATATAGAAGGAATTTTGGGGCCCATAAGTACTTATTGGAAAGATTATGTAGTCTACTTTCAGATGGTTTTCGTCGCACGTCAAAATTCCTACCGAGCTGCCAGGAATCTGCAAAACAAGCCACGTATCTCATCCAGTCCGAATCTGATTTGGGTTTTGGGCCTTGTAATTGTGTCGTGGGCTTAGCCCAAGGGGGTGTGCGCCCTAGGGCAACCCTAGGACTTCCCTAATCATATATATTCAGTAGCCGTCATCGTTTAGAGTTGGGTTTTGCTTAAATTAATCTATCAATAACAGTTTCGCCGCTAGATCGGTTTGTGGAACCCCAAATTCGAGTGCTTAATCATTCATGTGCAATTTGGTTGCAATATATCTTGTTCTTTCTTGTGTTTTTCGATTCGCATGCAGGGATTAACCTTCTCGGCGAGGTCAACTGAGTTTCGGTACGGTTGATAACCAGAGGAGACGTGGTTCTGCGATTACGGGGCTCAGTAGCGTGTTTGTTCAGAAGCCGGATCGAGTGTGTCGCGACTCTGCCCAAATCGACTGTTTATCAGTAACAATCGGAAGATCGAGACCTAACATCCTCATCAGTCGGTATCAAAGCGCCAGATTGCCGTTAGATAATTTATCTTCCCTTAACCAAAAAATTGCTATGCAAAAATATTTATTCTTTACCAAGACAATTTGATCCATTGCATTGTTCTATTAGTTTTTGCGTTGTTGAATTTTAGATTGCATCTTCGTGTTGAGTGCTGGTTTAGTTTTAGATTTAATTTTTAGTTGTGAGTACTGCATTTGTACATCGCTTTGGGTTAGTCACGTCCATCAGTTTGGGTCCAGTTTTGCATCTCGTCGGTTGTTGTCGGGACCTTGAAAAATCGAATCTACTCATCATCAGGTTTCCGTTTTTGTGGTTTGGAGTTTTCTTTGAGCGGTTTTGGAGTTGCTAGATTACTAGGGTTTCTGTGTTGCTGTCTGTTGCCATGTCTATTCTGTGTCGTGCTTTTTGTGTGCACGTTGAGGAGAGAAACATATTGGCATATCAGTTTGTTTTCTACAGGGGGTTATCTGATCTGTGTCGTCAAACGGAATAAAATCTCCACATATTTTCCAATCTTCCACAGTAGTCCGACTCCAGCTCCTTGTCACGGCTGACCCCCACCTCTACCTCATGGGTTTCTTCCGTGCCTTTGTTGACGGTCGTTATCGACCTGTTTCGACTGTCAATATTACCCAATTAATGAAGACTGGCTATGCTTACAATGCATAAATTCCAAATAAAATATCTACTTCCACTATATACTATGCTACTAACATGTATACAGGAGAAGCACATATAAATGGAGGAGAATCGACAGAAAATAGATGAACGATCAATCAGATGCTGTCGAGGATCAGACTTATGGATAGATGCGCTAAGAACTCAGAAAAGACATGATCAATTAAGCCCAAAATTCCATGTTTTGGAATGAGGAGCAAATGAGGAGTCGGCCTGCCAAGAATTGGGCCGTTTGGGCCAGATCACAGCCGTTCAGGCTAGGGTTTGGCGTGGACGCTCCGAATGAACTCCTGATGGCGGTTGCAGGGCATTTCCAACACTTTCCATGCTCTACAACTGTCATACCTGCCTATTTAAGGAGCTCTCATGCTCACTTCACAACACACACAAGCAAGGATTGAAGCTCCATTTCTCCGAAGTTAGAATTAGTATAGTGCTAGTGGAATAGGAATAGAATAGTTCGGAGTCCGCGGAAGCTTCGGAGAGTTCGGTATAGTTCTTAGCTTTTCCTTTTCTCTTTTGTAAGACTTCCTTTTCAGTAATATAATGTTCTTCTTTTTATACAAGTTTAGTACTTTATCCAATTATAGAATATGAGTGCTATGCTTAGTCTTATTTATATTTAGTATAATCTCGTTGGTTAAACCTTCTGGGATTTGCATTGATGCTGGTATAATGTCTGTTTACCGGGCCATACGTCAGCCTAGGCTAAGCTGAGGGCTATGGTTCTGGGACATAGATGCTCTGCACCAATTGCAAGGCTGCAGATGTCACGCCCAGAAATTCTAGGCATGACAGCAGAGTAATAAGTAGTAGCTTAAGCATGGGGTTTAGGCTAAGACTTATCATTATTTGGGAGTATATTCGCCGGAAGAGCAGCGGGCCACTGATGGTGACAGCTCAGTACGGGAGTCTTCCCCACAGTTTATATTCCTACATACAATTTCCGAGGGTTGGATACTCCTCCGTATCCTTCTTCGATTGGATGGTTATGACAGGTTGTCGTAAAAAACTCGGCAACCCGGGGTAACTTTCCGATGCATCGGGAGGGCACAACCGAGTCTCAGCTCAGCTGTGCTGCATTGTTAAAGGGGTTATGCCACAGTAGAGTATACTAATTAGGATAGACTAGGTACTTGTATACTAGAAGTACATGAATAGAATATTTCTATACTTTTCCACTTAGCCATGATTAGGAGATGTAGGAATTAGCTAAATCCTTAGCTGTGTGTCACTCTACCCTTAAGCTTAACTTACCCCTGCATAGACCTTGATGTATATAAGTAATATATAAACTATTAGCATAGTACTCTCTTATCATATCTTCCCTTGGGATAAAATAAATACGATACCTTGGAATACTCCCAGGTGAAATGCTACAATGGTATATCTGTGCACTTGCGGATCACATCTGTGACCATAATATACCAGGGTTATTTCTAGTGCTATTGCTGGGAATTATATTTCCAGTAGTGTCGCTAAGAAATCCCAACAGCCTTCTCCTCGGTCACCACATTGTTAGGTATTTTGGTGGTTGTAGATTTGAGATATTTTTGTAAAAACGGAACCTACATGATGTGAGCATTCCATTTTTGAGGTGATCCAATTTTAGTTTTGCACTTTGCATTTGACTCCCTATAATATTTTTATTTACATTTGAGTCCCTCGTTGAGGTCATTGAAAGGTTCCTGCTGAAAAAAAAGCCAGAAAGGTGCAAAGAAAAAAAGCCGCGCCTAAAAATATAAAAAAAATGCAGAAAGATGCTTAAAAAAACCGCACAAAAAAAATCAATCATCTTTTGAGTATGTTTTGAGAGTGCAAAGTTGTGCATTGATTTATATCTAGTCCTTAGTGTTGTCGGGTGCTTGCTTGAGCTAGAATTGAGTCTAGGCTAGGCCAGCGCATTGACTAGTACTTTGAACTATTATTCAACTCTGAATTTTCTGATTAGCACAATTGTGTTCCTATGCTACTATATATTGTGTCTCCCAAGCTCCACATATATACTTCTGGTTCGCACCACTTTGATCCTTGCAATCACCACATCACGTCCTTCAAGGTGACATGAACCAGCCACCGGTTGTACCGTCTTTAGCATTGCTGGTAAGACACTTGTAAGATCTTGGT